GACTATGTACATACAATAAGCGGAAATTATTTGTCACATAATTAAAATCACTTACATACCTTATAATATAAGATTCATGATATGAACGTATAAAAAGGCTTGTTTTCAATCATAATTAATATGCTTTAAGCATTGATACCATCTGATCGCAATTAAACATATTCATTATATGTAAATAAATAATTTAATTTATTCAAAAATTACATAGATAACATGGAAAAATAAATTAAATTGTAAAACTCTAAGATACATAAATATATAGTTTTTACATTTTCATTTTAAAATGTAAATTTCTTAAATTCGAGAATGCAATTAAAAATTTTTAACCCATATCGATATGGGGAGTACAGTTCGGAAAATATTGCATATAATTTATTTATGACTAATAATATGAAAATTTAATAAAAAATATGGTAATTTTATTTTAAAGTAGTAAATGACCTGACATATTAAACGTTTTAGGAATTTAAAAAATCAAAAACTAATTTCAGAAAAAATGAATTATTTTCAAAAAAATGGCTTTTGTCGAAAAACTGAAATTTTCCAAATTGAAATCAAAAAGAATTGAATTGAAACAATTTTGCCGTTAAGAAATGTAAATAAATAAATTCCAAATAAAATAGATGTGTATTCAATTTTTGCAAAGACCAAAATATTCTCTAAAATTTTAATCTACAAAATCATTTAATTTAATTACTATACCACAATGTTAGACCTATTGAAAATGGAAGTGGAGGCACATAATAACATAAATTGTACTCGTATTATTATCTGATTGTCATTATTCAATTTAATTTATTCAATTTAAATAAAATATATTTGGATAAAAAAAAAACAAAATAGCAAATGCATGTTTGTACGTGTAAATGATTTTGTAGATATATTCGTGTTTTATATATTATATATTGAAATTGCAAATATAATAAAATAATGTTTTACATAAAAATATGAACTAGGTGTTTATTATAATTTACATCAAAATTTTTAAATTAATATTATATTAACATATTAATGGTATTTAATTATAATTTGATGTTTTAGAGCATTAGAGACTTTCACATGACTTGAGTTTCATAAGTCTTTGAGTTAACTAAAGCATTATAAACAAAATCTCATTTTTACAACAAAATTTAGAAAAAATATAAGAGCGGATGTGATAAATGCCAATATATAAAAATGTCAAAATAACTTCATTACTCTTTCTTCAAGGTAATTTCCCCAAAATGAAAAAAAATGCAAAAACCTTTTATTTTATTCCTTTCTTATTCCTTACTCTTTTAGCTATATGAATAAATATGTATCTTCCAATTTAAAATTTTTATATAACAATTAAACTTTTTTCAAACATATTTTTAATGAAAAATATATAAAATTTAAATTGCATTAATCAAAATATTTCAAGCAAGAAAAATTAATTCGATTTTAATAAAAGTGTACTAGCTATCACAAACATACTTACGTATAATTTACAAAATATATAAAAATTAAAATTGCATTTAATATGCTTTTTATATGTAAATATTTATATGTTATATATATATATGTACATACATATAATATGTAAGTACATATTTTATGCTTATGCGTTTTTTGAATCTGATAAGTCATTAATCCGAATACGTAAATAAATATGCGTATAAAAAGAAGGACAATAAACTAAGAATGACCTTGACAAAAAAAATTTTTGTTTTTTTTTTGCTATATTTTAATTTTTTTTATTTCTCAATTTTATTTTTGTTTTTAGTTTTTACTCGTTATCCTCTCTAAAAAATAATCAAAAGTATGACCTTCAGTTTTCAAGAGAGTAAGGAAAAAATTCAAATCACGTACTAGAGCAGTCATCAATTTTAATGAGAATCCATTCAAAATAAATTAAAAAATTGAGTAAAAATTATTTGACATCAAAAAGAAAATTTTAAAGTTCAATATAGAAAGGTTTTAATAACGGTAAAAATTAAGAGAAAAGCGACTAATAAATTAATGAAAACACGTTACTCTACAATAAAATAAATTTATGTTGTATGTATATGTAAATGAAATATATATAATAAGTTGTAGCAATGCAGCAGTACGTAAATATTAAATACTTAAAAACTCATTATTTATTATTTAAGGAAACCTTAAAAATTTAATTTAAGTCAATTAGAATTGAATAATTATTTTTTTTAGAATCGATACAGTTAAAAATTATACAAAATTCGTGTGTATATAAATATTAAAGTTTATTTATGTTTTTCAAAGCAAATTATGTAATTGTAAATGCATAATGCCATTTTGATTTTGTGTACATATGTATGTACATATTTTTACAATATATTTAATTAGCAATTTAAGACCAAACTTGGATTTTTTTCCTATCTTATTTTATTCAATTTTAAACAAAATTTTTGCATCGAAAAAAAAAACTTTATAGAAAAATTTTGCTTGAAAAATTTTTTTGATTTTTATACGAAAAATTGAGCCGATCCCGAAGGCTAACACTTGTTGTCCCCATATTGTATATTTTAAATTTTGGTTAACAGAGTTGAATAAATCCTAATTTAATATTAGAAAATATTTCCTTATATTTGTTTGAAGGTTTCGATGAAGAACATAGAATTCGTGTTTCTTAACCATAGGGTATCACAGTACTTGCTCATTAGTCATTATATTTGAATTGCATTTAAAGTTCACATACTCTTGTGAAATGCGTAGCTCATTACATGTGGAATAAATTATGTAATATTACATGATCCGAAAATAAATAGAACATATCTGTGACAAATGAAAGCCATTATACTTTAAAGCCATTGTAGTAGATTTAGATATTGTTATAATATACGTTCATTTTTAATATCAAATGCCGTTCTTATCTTTAAGAAAGAGTATTAGAATGTATGTAATTCAAAATATAAATTAAATTATTTTTATAAAAATATGCCGCAACATTATTTCATTTAAAGTTGTTTTACATTGACCTGCAAAATAATAACATTAAATATTTTTTTTTTATTAAAATTTTACACAATATAAATAATACATACATATGTATATGTATATGTAGATGGAAATTTTTTCTTATAAATAAGAAGTACATACATTAGATTTTCTACCATCAAATAATTTATACCAATTAAAACTATTAGATATATTAATACATATTTAAAGAAACTCTTATTTAAGGCTATTACCTTTTATGATTATGTATCTTTGTACTCATATACCAATAAAATTACAATAATATGTAAACTTTTTTCATCAACATTTTACCTTGAAAAACCATATTATGCACACAATACGTACATTAATTTCAAAACATATGTATGTATATGATTCAATATGTGTTAAAATACACAATAAGTTCTATAAGAATATCTACTGCAAAATTGAAATGATAATATAAAAAAATTAATTGAACAAAAAAAAGGTAATAAGTTATTTAACTTTTGTAACTATGTCAAGAACATCAAGATTGTAAAGTCAAAGACTAAAGAGAATCTTTTAATTAAACATTAAAAAGTACTTAAAAACAATTTTTTAATATTTTGTTTAAAAATGCATAATATTTATGTAAAATGCAATCTTAAGCCCAACTAATCACTAATACAAATATAAACAATCAAGTGCATCATCTCTAATATTACTTTTATTCAATTATAGATTATTAAATGTTGAAAAACTTGGCCTTTTATATCAAGTAATTTAAAATATTATTACCTAAAAAATCCATTTCATAATCATAAATCGCTATATTCCATCCGCATGGGAATACAAACACCAGAGTCACATTGAAATGTAGATCTGTTATTCAGAAATGCAAAATTGTTCTCACATGAAAAACATTTTACCAACCTTTAATTTGACCTTGATAAATTCAATGGTTTAATAAATATAAGTTATTAAATTGTTTCAAGCTGCTAAGAGCTTGTTAGAGGGTCCTTTTCGTCCTTCAAGGAAGTCTTGGCCAAGTATGGTAGAATAAAAGTTTTTTGTCTTATTTTAGTCTATAATGTAATGTATGAACCTGTTGATCTGGAACTACAAAAACCTTTACTTTTAGTTATTTATAAAATGTATTTTTATTTACATAGGTAAGTTTAAGTATAAATCCATACATACATGTACATATGTAGATGCACATTGTAAATGAACAGCACATAAATGCAACAGTATGCTTAACGCAAAGCAGGACTTTTTAACCTTTAAATAACGATAAACACTTCATTTTTTAATTATATTGTAACCTTTCCTCTACTAGAATTTAATCCATTAACCGTTGTTGCATAGCCCATTAAAGGCTTCCCATAAAAATATCCTCTGCTTTTCTTCCTATAGAAATTCTTATTGAAACTATGTATAGAACATGCATATTTTTATTTGAAAAAACTTTAAAATGAAACAGTGGCATAATTTCGCGCAAAAGGAAAAAAATTAAATTCTCATTTAAAAGAAAATAAACCAGACGGAAAAGTTGAAAAAACTTTCAAAAATTTTATAAATAGATGATAAACGTCAATTTTCAAATTATAAACAAAATATTTTTTGGTTATGCAAAAAACCGAAAATTTTGATTTTGGATTATAAAGTTGTGAAACTTTGAAAAAACCATTTTTAAATCCATTTTATCCAAGTTTTAAAACAATTATTGATGTTGAAAATTTTTTTTTGAAAATTAAAATCTTCTGACATAATCAATAAAAACATATGACAGCTGTAAGGTTTCTAACACTAAAGTTTTTAAAACACTAAATTTTACTTTACAAAACTTGAAAAAATTTTACACATCGAGAAAATGAAAACGTCATTATTTTCTCTTATTTTTATTTAAAAAAATATTATTACAGACGCTTTGCATACAAGTTTTATAAAGGTAAAAAAAAAGATAAAAATTTTTTTTATACCAGATAGACCTAATATATCGTGTTTTCACTGTTTTATACCAGAAAATATGTCAAAAAAGACAATAAAATAACTAATATTATCCGTCATCGCATGCTTCCATATGCTTTTGACATTTAAATTATAAGTAACAAAAACTATTTTGGATTGATTGCAAAATTATAAAATTCCATTTTACAAAAGAATTTAGCAGCAACAGAAAAGGATGGTATTAAAAAAGAACTGTAGGAAATAGTGGTTTTATTTCAAGCACATATAAAATATAAATTGTTGGTATTATAAACTTTAATCATTGGAAATTCTTAAAATACAACCTTTTATCTTGAAGATCTCGCATTGAAACCTCGTCAGTTGTTCTTATATAACACACATATACACACTGTTATTATAATTTTAACATTTAGGTATATTGATATTAAACAAGATATTATAATTGCAATGGATAAGAGATAATAATAAGTTATGGCCGAATTGTTAAACGATTTTAATCACCAAATACCGAAAATTAAGCTGTTCACAAAATACTAATCCCACCAATAAATAAATTTTTGAGACAATATAGTTAAAATGTTTTTATATCAATATTTCAAAAAATTTGATTGGCGAGAATTTGTTTGTGGTTATGGTGCAGCAACAATCAATATCGGAGTTACATATCCTATATATAAAATGATATTTCGACAGATGCTTCATGGTGATAAAGTAACTTCAGCTTTTATTCAAATGAAGCATGAAGGATTGAGATATTTATATAGAGGAATGTTACCACCACTAGCGCAAAAAACAATTTCGTTATCACTAATGTTTGGTATATATGATGGCATCAAAAAAAATCTACAAGTCGAGTTTGAGTTAGATCCTTATACATCAAAAATTTTAGCGGCGAACTTGGCTGGTACATGTGAAGCAATCTTAATACCATTTGAAAGGGTTCAAACCTTATTAGCGGACTCTAAATATCACAAGTATTTTAGTAATACACCAACTGCGTTTAGGTGCAATTGATTTTACAAGTCTATCATATAATATTTTTGTAAAAATATAAATTTTAGATATGTATGGACAAACCACGGTTTTATGGAAATGTATCGTGGTGTGGCACCAATTTTATTACGGAATGGGCCATCTAACGCCGTATTCTTTGTATTAAGGGAGGAAGCTTCAGAACATTTGCCAAAAACTGTAAGGAACTGCTTTAATTTTTATTTTTGATTTTAAATTTGATTACAAATAATTTAACTTTATTTTAGGATAATATAGCTAAAAAAGCCGCACAAGAATTTTTCGCTGGCGCTGTTATAGGTGCTACAGTTAGTACAATTTTTTATCCGTTAAATGTAATTAAAGTTGCAATGCAAAGTGAAATGGGTCACAAAACTCAAGGTATAATAGAAGTTTTTTTAAAGATCTATCGTGAACGTGGCAATAGTGTACGACATTTTTATAGGGGATGCGGACCAAATTCAACTAGGTCTTTTGTTAGCTGGGGTATAATGAATGCAGCATATGAAAATTTGAAAACTATTTTTTATCGTTATTAGTTAGCATATTAATCAAAAAAGTTAGAAAAATTTATTGAACGTGAAAGACATGATACTAGAATTTGACTGTTCTCATCTAATTATGTATGTATATCTACTAAAGAACTGATTGATTGATAAGGAACCCTGTAAATATTCATTGAGTTAATTAAATTTCTCTCAATTTTTCTTTGATAATTTTTTGTTCGATATTTATTTTTGAGAAAATTGATAATAAAAACTTTCACATACATTATTTATTTGCTGTTAAATTACTTTAGACATACCGCACATGATATGTATGTTGAACAAAAAATAATGAAACAGTAAATTTTATCGATGGCACATTTTTTGTGTCTAATTTGAAAATTTTACAAAATTAGAAATCAATCGAAAAAGAATAAAATAAAAATAAACGAAATTATATTTAAAAAACGAATTTGAAAAAATAAACATTATGTATGTATTTATTTGCAATGTAAAGGGTACATCTAAAAATTCAGAAAAGAAGATACTGAAACTTGAAATTATAGGAAAAATATACAATTGTCATATTAGATTGTGTCTAATGTCCTTCTACCAAGTAATATTATACTCTAACACGTTAAAAAACTAAGACAAATACGATTTTAATTCATACATATTATTGTTTAAAATATACTGAGCATTTGTATGTAAGCAATTGTACATAAAACCAAATTTTTAATGTTTAATGTAATTACATTTAAATAAAATTCAAGAATGATATTGAAATTTCTTTATTGCAGAAAAAACTATGACAAAATGTTCTTAATGGTACTTTTTTTCCTCAAAAATGTCAATTCATCTATCATACAAGTAAATCCCAATATTTTTTTAACCGTAATTTGGCAAATTTAGCAAATAAAACAAAATCATTTTAATTTACATCCATTTGTTAGCAAAGCTAAAGATTGTTTAAAAGTTTATTTGGCAATTAAAAAATATTTACAGAAAACTTATATCTAAAAAATTTTCGTCTTAAAAACCAAAAGTTTTTAATATAACAGCATTATTACAATACTTTGATTATGGCTTTACATCAATGCGTTTATTGCTTCACTCTAAGTAATTTTTAATTTTTTTTTTCTTTTTTAATTCTTTGCTTAAAAAACTCTCCAGTGTTAAAAAGTACTTTTTCACAGCCAGGCGCAAGTTCTCTTTGTTGGACCTATTACAAAAAAAATTGTGTTCTCATCATCTTACAATATTCATGAATATAGAAATCATCCTTAAGATTTTAATTTTTATGTGTTTTTTTTTTTTCAAATTGTCAAAACAGAAACCGAAATTCATTTCAACATTTTGTAAATTGTTGAACATGTCAGGCACAAAAAAAACTCTGCTTTAAAAAATCTAATTACAAATATGTTCTTCTCTTTTGTAATTGCACATAGCACATTTTACAGAACAACACCAAACAAATTTACATTTACACTTCTCCTGGACTTGTCTTAAGCGGGTTTGGTAACCACGTCCACAACATAATAAACGACAACCGTCAATGCCTGGGGATGTTCTGTTACAAAATCTACCCTTAGTGCCAAGAATATTCAATTTTGGATTAGGTTCACAATAATCTGGTGATTCTTCTAAGAATACTAAATCAGACTTTACCAATTTTTTCATTAGTGGATCACGTCGCCTCAATTTTGACGGTTTTCCATCTCTTTCAACAACTTTTACCAATGATGCACCATCATACAAATTTCCTAACGCCTCACCAACAGCTCTCATGGAGGATAAACGTCTCCAACAAACACGCAAAGAACACGAACCTGACATGCCATGACATTTACAAATTCTTTGCATTTTAACTTTCAGTGCACGTCGTCCTGCTTCATTATTATGCAAATTCATTAATCCTTCAGACGAATTATGGCTTTCTTGTGAATCAGTAAATTTTTTAGAAAAAATAACTCCATAATTGATATCTTCAGAACATCCACCCCACTGCCACTTACGTTGCTTACGACGTATGTTGTTATCGCATGAACATTCTGTTAACTCACCCTTTGAACACGCTCGGGTTATTGACCAAGCTAATGCAGCTGCATTAATAGCATATACATAGGCTGTTTCACGACTCTTTATGTTAATGACATTTCCATAAATAGAACTTGTGTTATAGAATGTACTGCAATTCCAACGATTGTTTCTAAATTGTATCTGGCATTCTTCTTTACCAATTTTGGCTGCTTGAGATAATGCCGATAAAATACGTTGACTACGTAAGCATATTTCAATTTGCTCATACGAAAGATTTGTTGAATTTTGACAAATATCCTTAAATGACTGCGTGGATTTTGTTGTATCTATTAGACCATTATTTTGTATGGAATATGTCCCTAAATGCCACCAATATGCTGTACTTATATGTATAATGATAGTCAAGTTTATTAAAATATATATCACCCGAAGCAATATTTTATACATTTTTTTTGTATTTATAATGTATAGATAATATATATTATTACTACTTGACAGTTAAATTTATACACAAAAATAAACAAAAAAAGGAAAAGAAATTGGCGATTGTTTATGAATTCACTTTGATTGTTTATAGTTCCAAAAATAGTCAAGTAAACACTATTCTACCGATATGACTGTTGTGTAAAGCTGTTTTTCTATCATATTCTATATTCAAAATTTTATATTAAATAGACTATTTTTGCGAAATAGTATTTGAATATTTAATTTATTTTTTAATGCACCGAATTTTTTAATACTGTTGAGTTAGAAAAAAACAGAGCGTCTTTACAGTAATCAATAAAAATATCTACCAAACGAGACCAAATCATAAAAATCTCAAAATGAATTGTTGACGATTTATTATACCCAAACACAATCACATATTTTAATATTTTTACTCACACACAAGCAAATTTTACAAAAGCTAAATAAAAATTTATGTGCAATAATGTTGTTCTGTCAAATTAATAGCACCCCCTTAGCTTTTTATAAGGCATTTTTATTCAAATTGCTATCAGCTATGTTAAGGAAAGAGGATCAAGAGAATATTAATCGAAAGAATTTTATGCTCTTCTCTTTTTACATTAAAGCTCAATCTCAGAACATAGTGCTAAAATTAGCAAAATTCACAATAGATTCTTTTTAAAAAGAATAAAATTGACTCAATTCTTCAAATTCTGCATCTACAATAAGTACACATATCCAAATTATATATGTAATTCTGAGTGATTATTATACATTATGTTCTACTACTATACTCACATTTGATGTTCACTCTTGATGCTATAGTAAAAATATATTATTATTTTATTTTTAAATTTTTACATTTTCATTTTTAACTTTGCAATATTTATAATAATTTATAATAATGTTACGTTCTGAAACTTTAAAAATTTAAAATATTCAATTACATCACAATAAGAAGATTAATTTAATGTTTATCACAATTCGACACAATGAACTATAAAATCATAATTTTTAAGATAACATACAACAAATTTCTATAAGTATTGTAAGTATAACGTCTAACCCCTTTCTTAAATTTATCCAAACAAAAAAATTATATTAATTAATGTTTTGCTCTGCTTTTAACTTTTGATATATCACAACTTGACCCCTGCTTGATTTACTCACGCATGCAAATCAACAATTTACAAGACCTTGATGTTCTAAAAATACATCTTTAACATTTCTAGCATGAATACAACCGCTACACAATATTATTGTAAGTTGGAACCGTTTTACTTTTTCACCGCCGCATTGAATACAGGCGTACACCCTAAATTATCTATCATATGGATAATTCAAAATGTTGACTTGCATTATGAATTTATTTTTACAATTAAATGCTTGGACTGTGTTAATAATAAATTCTTTTACTTTGCACATGATTTTCAATTGCATAACTCGAGCCGTCAAAATGTTCAGGTAAATTGAAATTTGAATTTAAATACGAAAAGATAAAAAAATATATAAAAAAATTCTTTAGTAAAAAAGCTTTTTTCTAACTTTCCTTATCAGCTTTTTTGTAAAAACTATTTTATTTATAATTTGGATAATAGATTTCAGCTGTAAATTCTTAAAGCTTTTTTTTTCAATATCACAATTTAAGCTTGACGGTCACTTTCCACAAAAATACCATTCAGCCATTTAATTTTAATGGGTTGAATGGTATTTTTGTGGAACATTCATGTTTTGTCAATTAAATTTTCCCCATACTTTTCGTTGGTGTAAATATTCAATTCGATAGGCAATGCTAAAATAGCACTGTCAAATAAGCGAAATCCAAATAAATGATGAGTTGATATGTACCATAATATATGCCTCCATATATAGATACATAGTTATTTCAAATATTTCACCCATATTTGAAATAAACTTTTTAAAAATTGAAAATATCGATTTAACTTAAAAAATTAAAATAAGTTTTATTTAAAAAAATTCATGTACAATAAGAAAAATCTGAAATTTACAAATTTATTTTCAATATACGCGCGCATACCTAGCCGTGAGTAGGTGTAGATACCTAGCACTAAATAAATCAACTTTTTATCTAAACCAATCATTGTAATACAAAATATAATTGAAATTAAATATAAAAATAGTAAGATATACCCGTGCATAAAAATTTGAATATGTACTTATAATAAAAGTTCTACTTTGACATTTTCATTGCTATATGCATCAATGATGTTACTATGATTATCATATAAGTCAGACTGATCCTCTATTAAATTTTCAATTTTTACTAAATGCTTGTCAGATCCGTGATAACTTTCAGTATCATGAAATTGATTTGTATGTTCATTTAAAGCTTTCAGTGTCTTAAATTTGGAATCACATATATAACAAACATGTTTTGTAACAGGCTTTTGCCTTTTTATACCTTCGTGCAACTTTAAATGAACATTCATATTATAACGTTGTGCAAATTTTTGACCGCACTTAGGACACTCATGTTTCTAAAACATTTTAATAAGGATAATAAGTATTTCTAATAATTTTTAATATTTACCTTTTCTCCTGTATGAATTAACATATGGCGATTCAAATGCGACCGTGATCTTAATTTGTATCCACAAATTTGACAAGTTTCCTCTCTTATATTTCCGTGAGCTAAATTATGCATATGAAAACTAGAACCATGAATAAATTGTTTCCCACAAATGTCGCATTGATAAGGCTTTTCTCCTGTAAATAAAACTTGTTAAAACACTGAAACATATCCTAAGAAAATGGGTTTAATATGAACAATAATACCTGTGTGAATAGCCATATGTCGTTTTAGGGCACCTTTTTGAGTAAACTCTTTACTGCAAACTGAACATTTAATTGGATCCTGATGAGATCTCATGTGATTATTTAACTTTGTTTTCGTTTCGAAACTGACACTGCACACATGACATTGCACAGGTGTTGTGGAATCTGCATGTTCAGATTCCTTGTGCTGCCTACATTCCGCTAAAGATTGAAACAGCATATCACATTTCTCGCAATATAAGCGTTTTTTCTTAGCTTTGTTGGAAACTTTAAAAGGTTTTATATCTATAGGCACTGTTTCTATTATAAAATGATCGCTATCATCATAACTTTCTTTTTTGAATTTGCTTTGTGAATTCATTTCACATATTTCGATGAACTCTTGATTGCTACTTTGATCCTCATCATTTATCAGATCTTGTACGATTTCTATTGAATCGTCAAATTTTATTTCAAAATTTTCTTCATCTTCACAAAAATCGTTTGAATGAACTAATTCATATTTAGATTCAGTCTGCGTTATCAATTCTAGGATTTCGTTCTGCATTTGTTCAGCCAAAACAACACCAAATTCATATTTATTTATTCTGTTTACACATGAATAACACAGCAAATTGTCTTCATGTTTTATGAAATCATCTTTTTTAATAATTTTGTAAATAGCTTCATATAACAACATTTTGGAATGTTTTGTATAATCAATAAAAATATCTTGAAAAATTCCTTTTATATCGCTGTCACATATACAACACTTTTTTCCTTCCATATTTGAAAATAATTTAATAATTATTCAAAAGAAACAACACTATTAGTAGAAAAATAGCACTCATGAAACAAAATAGGGCTTAAATTATAGCTACATATATAATCACAAATATATTGTCAATGCCATAAATAAACTTTAAACCTAAACATCATTTTATCGATGATTTGACACAACCATTGTATGACTTTAAATTTTGATTGTTAATAACATGACAGTCAACTGTTACAAAGCGTATCACGATAAGCAAATTAATTGTTTTCTCAAAAATTACGTCAAACTGTTTGAAGTAGCCGTGTTTTGATTAGATTTGTGGAAATCAATGCCGTAGAAATGTTTGATGATATGAATCTTGACATAACTAAATTATTTCTATCAGCCGTGAAATAGAGAACAGGCACATAAACTCTATTCTTAGTTTGCAACTCTGATTGCTTCTTTGAATTCCGTAGGTTTATATTTAAACGCGGTCACATACAACTGTATGATCGTGTGCAATTCAGCAATCCACCGATTGCAAAAATTACAAACTTATTATTAACTTTGCTTATATTACCGCATTTTACGTCTATGATGAATACTCTAAACACAATAAGCCGCTTTACAAGACAAAAAATTAAAGGATAACTCGATTAAATTTTGAGAAATAAAACTTTTAATAAAAATTGAGGTTAGTTTTAAAATAAGTCGATTAAAAATATCTATGAGAAAATCTAGGCATTGACTAACCAGGCCTTACATACATATAAGTATGTTATTCCAAAAAAAAAAATTGAATGTATGCTATTACGCTCTAATTTTACATAAAAGAGCATGTAATTAAAGAATTTTGATAGATCTTGGAGTGGGTACATATTTTCTTATAAGCGTTGCCATACAAGTTCAAAATTATTTTTTACTAGGTGTAATAGAAACTATAAAAAATATATCACTTCAATTTTGTCAAACTGAATTTAATAATACATAGTGCGGTAAAGCACTCAAACAAAATTTATTCCTTAACAAGTTACTCACATTTTGAAAATTTCAAAGAACTGAAATTTCTTATAAACAAGTTTAGTAACAAAGACGTCATTCTAAATAAATAAAACAGATTTAAATTCTTTATAAAAAAATGTCCGCACATAGCAGAATTGACACTTGTTAATTTACTATCCAGTATTTACCTACAAATGTATATCTTTTCGGTTTTTTATTGTTTTTTAACCATTTTTTGTTCATAGTAAAACAATAATGTTTAATAATCACTATTTATAATTTATTTAAATATTTCTAGTAGTTATAATAAATGTATTTTTATCTCACGTTATCTATTACATTTTCAAACTCAAGTGGACTTTTTCCAACGTGCACATAACTTTCATTATGCTCTTCTAAAGCTTTGGATGATTCAAATTTTAAATCACATACACGGCATTTGTATTTCACTGCAGATTTTTGTCTTTTTATACCTTCATGCAATTTTAAATGAACATTCATGTTATATCGCTGGGCAAACTTCTGTCCGCATTTAGGACATTCATGTTTCTGAAAAATTGGTTGTCTTATGATATTAAAAATTGTCTGTGCTAATAAAAGAAATTTCTACCTTTTCTCCTGTATGTATCAGCATATGACGAGATAAATGAGAACGAGATCTTAGTTTGAACCCACATACTTGACAGGTTACTTCTCTTATATTTCCGTGAGCCAAATTATGCATACGAAAACTAGATCGATGGATAAATTGCTTTCCACATATATCACATTGGTATGACTTTTCACCTTAAATTAATTTTAAAATTATGGAATTAAGCTTATTAAGATGTTTTAATTACCAGTGTGGATGACCATATGTCGTTTAAGAGCACCTTTTTGGGTTATTTGCTTATTACATATTGGACATTTAATCGGACCTTGGTGGGACCTCATATGATTATTTAATTTTTTCGCTGTCGTGTAAGTTACGCCACATACGTGGCATTGCAAGGGAACGACTCGTTCACCATGTTGAATTTCATTGTGTTTTTCAAATTCAGATAGGGATAAAAACAGAATATTACACTTTTCGCAATAATAATGTTTGGACACCGGAGAAACTTTCAGTGGCTGAATATCAATTATAGTCTCTATTTTGACATCTTCCGTATGGTCATCAATAATGTTTTCCATAAAAATATTATCCTGTGAGTCATCTATTGCAACATCGATTGAGTCTTCATTAATTTCGTCATCCTTCACCTTCGTCAAGTCAACATCCGACGTACTATAACATTCTTCGACTTCCAAATCGTTTTCGTTGCTTTCTTCCTCTTTAAAGCTAGTCACAAATATAAATTGGTTGTTTCTATTTAGTGAAATCGATTCTAAAATTTCTTCTTCCATCTGCTTGACCAATAACATACCAAATTCATATTTATTTATTCGGTTAATGCATAAATAACATATCCAGTTTTCTTCACTTTTAATCCAATCTTGCTTTAAAATTTTGTGAAGAATTTCAGAAAGAAAAACTTTGGAATGTTTGGAATAGCTATTAAATAAATCTCCGAAAATTCCTTTTATATTTTCTCCGCATAAACAACACTTCTTTTCTTCCATTTTTGCAAAAAAAATTTAATATTTAAAAAAAATACTTTGACGGCTGTATTTCAAGTGTTAAACAGAGTGCATTTCCCCAGAACTGTCGTTTTTAATAAATTGTAGTTACATTTTTAGAATAGTGACATTTAGTAAAAAATGTTTTATGTTTAGATGCTTATTTGTTTTCATTTTGACATTTTTTAGTTCGTTTGACATAGTTTTTCATTTTGACATAGTGTTTCATTTGTTTGCCGTTTTTTTTGACTCTTGCATTAACTCTGAAATCTAGGCGTATTATACTAATACTAAAACAAGCACATGTATGTAAATTTATATTGTTCACACGTTAAAATATATGTTAAAATGTAAGTATAAAATACATAAATTAACTCCGATCGAAAATTATATTTTAGAAAATATATAGTACTAACGTCAGCCAACAATTTTCGAAAATATATTACATATTATGTACCTATCAAACTTTCTTGATCAATTGATCCTCTTATGTTATATTAACTTTTGAAAAGATTATCCTTTATCGTATTTCTACGATATTATGTAAATGAAATAATACTTCTATAAATCTAAATAATACTATACTAAATTTATAATAAACCTAATTCTGACATCACTTACTATCACGGTTTTCAATTTGATAATTTTCTACCAAAAGTTATAATTTCATCTTCATTTGGTAACTTGGTTTTTTTTTTTTTTTTTTAAACGTTCATTTGGTAATTTGGTAACTTTATCTTTGATTTAACAACTTTTCCGTGAATTCCCAAAGTTCAAGACAAGTGTACTTCTTAATATTATCTTGAAAATATTAAGAAGATCAAGAATAATACAATGTAGCTTTTACATATCAGGATAAATTTGACGATCAAATTTGACAACTAGGCAATTAAATGAGAAATTCTGTTTGCAAATTTTGAGTTTAGAAATTCTGTGTAACCCAGCATTTACACGTACAAGTTACTTGCAAGAAAGTTGCAATACATACAAAAATTTTACTAACACATTGAAATATTTCTACTTGCTTGTTTACTTGCAGTTCAACTTGCAAGAAAATTTTGCTGCCAGTAATTTGAGCAAGTAATTTGACATATTGAGAAATTCACAAAAAAAAATTTGTTGTTTTGATTTTTTTTTTTTTTAATTTAAAATTTTTGAATTTTGTTTTGAAAAAATTAAACTTAGCAAACTTATGGTTTCTAAAATTTATAAACAATTATATATATTGCTAGTTGTTTTCTTCTCAAAGACATTTTCAAAAATTAACTTGCTAAAGGCCTACGTCATAATAGCAAGTAATTTGACATTTCGAACAACTAATTGACAATTAATATTATACAAACTTGCATGCAAGTAACTTGTATGTGTAAATGCTGGGTAAGTAAATTTTTTTTTAAAAAATTATTTATTTTTACAAAATTATTTTAAAAATATATAATTTTTTTTTAAAAAATTATTTATTTTTACAAAATTATTTTAAAAATATATAATTTTTATTGGAATTATGTAATAAATTGCATTAAATTGCCTTCAACACATATTTTTTTTGATATATTTAATATAAATTTCGAAAATTTTTATAAAAAAAATCCTTCTTAACTTGATAATTTCTTACCTTCTTGTGGAAACTTTTCTTAAAATATATGAAAACTTCAAAAATAAGGCAGAGTAATGACAGTTTGTAAGTTCATTCGCTAAATCAAAGCTACTTACTATAAATGTAAATGTTGTTATTAAGTTAATATTATATTATGGCTAAATTTCGCGATTTTTCAATGCTTAAAAATGAAAGATTACAGGATGAAGGGAAATCAACAGTAACAACATTAGAACAGGTATATTAAAATTCATAGAATATTAGGATGTAAAAAAAATATTAATTTTAGGCTAATGTTGAAAAAACTGTAAACAAGTGTTTTGAACGATTTGAGCAATTGCAATGCCTTGACCCAAATGCAGCCCAAATTTACAGAGACCAACATATTCGCTATTTAGAGCATAGCTTACAGCAATTGCCAGCCAGTTATGAATGCCTAGATAGCAGTCGACCTTGGTTAGTTTATTGGATAGTAAATGCTGCTAGTTTATTAAATTTCAAATTTCGTGATGAACTAATCAACAATACAATAGATTTCTTGATAAAATGCCGTCATCCGAAATTTGGTGGTTTTGCGGGAAGTCCATTACAATATCCACATTTAGCTCCAACTTATGCCGCTGTAAATAGTTTAGCTATATTTGGTACCAAGAAAGCATATGAAGCCATAGATAAAACTTCTCTCAAAACATTTTTATGGTCTTTAAGAGAGTCGGATGGTTCTTTCAAACTTCATGTCGGTCAGACGAATTTTATGCAATTTTTTCAAAAATATTATATTATTTTAAATAGGTGGCGAAAATGACGTGAGAGGTGCTTATTGTGCTATATCTTGCGCTAAGTTAGCTAATTTTTCTAAAGAGGAAGAAGAAGAATTATTTCAAGGAACAGCAGATTGGATTGCAAGTTGTCAAACATATGAAGGGGGTTTCGGAGGTTGTCCAGACTTAGAAGCTCACGGTGGCTATACATTTTGTGGTTTGGCTGCAAGCATAATGTTAGGTTGTACGGAAAAATGCGACGTGGAGGCCATACTTGTAATATCGATTCGTTAATATATTTTATAATTATAAAAATTCAAATTTTAGCGTTGGGCCTTAGCAAGACAAATGCGATACGAGGGAGGATTTCAAGGACGTACTAATAAATTAGTTGATGGGTGTTATTCGTTTTGGGTAGGAGCCATAATACCAATGGCACAAAAAATATTGGTCAATAAAAGTATGTGTTTCAGTAATAGTTTAGTAAAAATTTTAATAAAAAATTTTCATTCCAGACAAAAAGTTGATAGATTTGCTGAAAACCCCTCTGTTCGACAGATCAGCCCTTCAAGAATATATTCTTCTGTGTTGCCAAAAACCAAATGGAGGTTTGATTGACAAACCAGGAAAGTAGGTTTTGTTTCTTTTCATAAATCAAAAACTTAATTCAATTTTAAGGTATCCAGACTTGTATCATACTTGCTATACTCTGAGTGGAGTTTCTATAGCGCAGCATTGTGAAGCTAGCTTAGAACCATTCGTTTTGGGTGATGCTAAAAATGAGCTGATTCCTACGCATCCTCTTCATAATATTCCCCCATTAGCAGTTTTTGATGCTTATAAATATTTCGAATCGGAATTCGTAGCTTCCAATTGTCAAGACGAGTGTACAGAAAAATCCAACTGCTATCAAAATTTTGCTGAAAAAACAAGTAAGTTACCAGAAATGAGGGACTCAGAAAATGGTAAATCTAGTGAAGATAACCGCGAATCGTCTATTGAAACATCTGTATCGACTTCAGACCTAGATGAATCATCCAACAATGTTAGTAGTAGCTTAGATGGACATTAATAAAATTGTATCAATTACTCTTAAAATTTTGTTTCGTTTTTGTTTTTTTTTTTTCAATAATTTGAAAATAAAAACAGTGGGGTTGTTAAATTTAAGTATCAAACAGTCATATACTTGTTTATTTGGATTTTATTTTGAATATTTTATGAAACAAGGTTTCTTGTTTGAAAATATTTATTCATATCCATATGAATTTATAATTTTAGTGAATGGTTCTGCTGCTTTAGCAATTTTCGCCCTAGCTTGAATTGTTAATTTTTTGAGAACCCTGTTGCGTTTCAAAGTAAGTCTCAATTTTGCTTTGCGTTTGCGTTCTAAATTTTTTACAACATCTTGGTAGTGCCAACCAACTTCATGTGATAAGCGCCCGACTTGACAGTATTTACGATCTGAACGTAATGTTAACACTCTCATTGCAATTGGGATACATACACGTCTTCTTTTATCGTAGGGAGGTGGAATGCCGTCAAATACTCTTAATCGACTAAGGGCAGCCTGGCCTCGCTTCGTTTTATGTGGAATCATTCCTAAAATGAAAATCACAATTTTTTATTCATTTAAAGTCTGTAGCTTAACAGAAAGAAAGCACAGTGGATTTTCAACTTGAAGCTAGATATTCAATTCAAAAATATATACACATTCAGTATGTCGGATCTAGAACACTTTGGAATTCCTATTTTAGAAATGGCTTAGCTTCAAGATGTAATCTATTGCGATAAATTAAACTTATCTACTAGCTCAATAGAATTTTAATATCATTATAAAATTTATAACTATAGTAATATTTATTAATTTAATTATATCTATTAAATACTAATTGATATACCTCTTACTGCCTTGTAAAAAATTCTGCATGGAGCTCGAAAATGATATGGTCCTCGTGCTGGATTTACATTACACCGCTTCCTCAAATATGCTAAATATTTGATTTTGTTTCTATAAAAATGTCCCGATAAATTCAACTCTTCACATCTTACAACGGCTACCTTGCCCCCTTGCAATAAATATTTGGCTACAACAGATGCTAAACGGCCAACTAAATGACCGCGGCCATCAATAACAACAGCCTGTAATTAGAAAAATATTTTTAACACATTGATTAGATAGCGTTGTCACGTTTTCTTTTCATTAAGTTCGAGGTTAGACTTTTACATCTTGACGGTAGTTTTTTTAATTAAATAAAAGAATAAATTTGAAATAAGATAAATGATAAAATTGCTTGGAAAATCTTTTGATGTAAATTATTTGCCGTATAACTTTGCCAAATATTTAGAAATGCATCTAGAATAGTTTTGAAAGAACTTAAGCTTTCCAAAATTTGGTAAACAATTTACAATAATGCGTTTTAAGTGGAATTTTTCTTTTTCTATCATTAATACTAAACCTTAATAGCTTATTCCTTTTTATTTTTTTGTTATATATGCTTTTCTATCATAAGAAATTTAACATACCCGATTTGTTAATCCTGTCATGACTCTAAATCGAACCAAAAAAGAAATGGCTACGAAAAAAGGCGGAAGTTGTCATTTTTTTTACCGTTTCATGATTGTCAAAATCTTGCCATAAATAACCGTTTCGAATGTATATTTCTTTGACAATCCCTCTGCCGTTCACAACAAGAAAAAAATTAAATATGCGTTTCTTGTGCTTATTGATTGACAGAACTCTCCACAAAAACATCAGTGGTTATTTAGGCTTACACATTTACATAAACAGGACCTGCTTTATCTTAGTTTTAGTTTTTTTACACACAGGGTGAAATAAGCTTATGAGGCATCTTCTACCTCTAAAAGTCTAAAGTGATGTGGTAATGAGGCCACTTCAACAACTAATAACAGGGTCACAAGGGATTAATTTTTCATCTTCGGCCTTTATTATAAAAATCGTTACGTGTTATGATCGCAACAATATTGAATAAAAATTTTGTTGTTTATTTTTTTTTTACGTTATGTCAATTTAAATACGGTGTGAAATTCGTTTCAAAATCAATGTGTGTTGAAATGCTTTAAAAACATTTTTCAAGGGCTCTTTCTCTTAGAACAATATTGTTTAATAATTGCAAGGAATTCGAAATACTGAAGAAAGGAGCATCTATGTTTCTACCTCGGTAGCACTACCTAAAATATCGTATCTTGAAAAACAGCATAGTGAAGCTATGTTCCATAATTGCTATTCCCATACTTCCTAGAAATGATATAAAAAGAAAGTGGATTGCACAATGAAAAGTAAAGAAAATGGGTTGCAGAATGAAAAGAAAAGTAAGTGGATTGGGGAGTTTTTATTTAAAATATTTTATCAAATAGTACTACACATCTGTTCATAGCATTTTGATTCAAAATATAAAAAGAAATTATATGGTAAAATTTATGTAACGTATCTATGCTTTATATAAATGTAATGCTATGCTTTACATGTATGTAATAAATAATTGTTTTTTTTTTAATGTGAATTGTTTTGTTAATATTTAGCTTTACAGAGTGAAGATTTGGTCAACAAAGAAATATATGAAGACGGCGGTGTGATGCCATTGAAGTAAAATAGTGTGAATTATTTATAAAATATATGTGTGATAAATAAATATATAAATAATAATAATAGTGTAATAAATAAATATGTGAAGATCAGTTAATTAATGAGGAAGTAAACGACAATATACCAATTACATTAGTAATAAACAAAATTTGTTGAGAAGGGCATAGTTTTTGAGTCATTTCGTATTCGAAATTCAAAAAATTAATGAAACATTATTGCGACAACGTCTCACATTGAAAAATTCAAGTAATACACAAGACAACACAAATTATCAAAAAAAAAAAATGTTCACGTTCAAGCGCCGTAAGGTAATTTAATATAAAAATATGTACATATGTAGAATTTTAATTTATGAAAAATTAATTAGTTTTGTTTAAATTTGGTTTTTTTTTTGTAGATATTCAAAAAAAATCAAATTTATATTATTTAAAATAAAAAAAATATTTTTTTTTTATTTTAAAAAAAAATTTTCAACTGCAAATTATTTTCACTCATATTTATAGCAGAGCCCAAATGAAAAAATAAAATAAACACGCTTCTGTTACTACTTTGACAATGTTTGGAATAAAGAAAGAGATAACTAGAAAGAATTTGGCTTCATTGTCTTTTCAAGATGCTCCTTCCTTTAGTACTTCTAATGCGTTGCTCGAAGTTTTTGGTTTAACACTTTTTTTTCAAGATACGACTTTTTATCGAATGCAAACGAAATAGAAATAAAAGTGCTGCTCTTTAGTATTTCTAACTCGTTGAGTAATTGTATCACCCCTACAGTAGAAATGTATAATGTCAATTGTCAAATATAAACTTATTTGTCAATGGGAAGACAAATTGTCTTCTATAAAATTTTACAGAAAATCAAGTTTTTTTTTTATTTATTAGAAAGCTCAATGGTTATTTCACACTTAGGAAAATATACAAAACTTTTATGAATTATGGCTTTATCACACTCAAAAATCGATAAACTTTTACAATTATTTAGTTCCTCAGAAGATGAGGAATTGGATAAAGCGAGTGACAACGAAGAACTGGATTTGAAGCCATGCATTTTCCCAGTAGATATTCCTGAAAAAAACAAAAAAACTCAAATATTAAAAAAAAAGGAAATCGAAAAATTACCTCAATCAAAGTCAAAAAATAGTGATGATGAAATTAAAGTAGTGGAATTGGAAGTTAAGCCGATAGAGGTATCTATAGATTACTTTCAACGAACCTATGTATAAAATTTAATTTATGATAGATAAATGACAGTGAAAATGATACAAAATCAAATTTTTCTGAAAATCGAGATGACTTCGAAAATAGCGATCAGGACGATGAAAATTTGAATGAAAAAAAAAAAGCAAAGAGAAACGTAAAACAAAAAAAGACGCTCAAAAAAGAAAATTGTTCTGATTCTGAAAATGATTTTATAGAAGTTAAACGAAAAGGTCGGCGCAAGCATGACCCTGTTGGTAATAAACGTGGTAGAACTAGAAAAAATCGACCTAAAGTTGGTAGAAATATAAAGTGCAAACAATGCGATATGAGAATGAAAAACGAGCAGCTTTTTATGTTTCATATGCAAATACATGAAGGACGAAAAGAAACTGAATGTACTTTGTGCAATGAAGATTTTGAAACCATACCAAATTTACAAGATCACTATGGTAAAAAAAAATTAAATATTCTTTGTATGTATATCAAATTTGCTATAAATATTTTTTTTTAATAAATTTTAGCACAATTTGATAAAACAAAAATGGATGATCATTATATAAAACTTAGACCATTTTGTTGTCATCTTTGCGATTTAAGGTATAAGAGCAGGAATTATCTACTGGACCATTTAGATATACATGCTGGAGATAAGAAATTTTTGTGTCCAATATGCGGTAAACAATTTTTTAAAAGATTCAGTTTAAAAGTTCATTTAAGATACCACCAAAAATCATATCATTCTTGTGAAAGATGTAAATTAGACTTGCAATTTCGGAATCCGAAAGAATATATTGCACATTTAAGAATTGTTCATGGTGAAAATGCTTTTAGATGTCCAATATGTGATCGTGAATTTTCTAGAAAACATGATATGATGAAACATAAAGATACACATAGTCGCGAGCCTAACTGCTGCACACAGTGCAATATAAACTTTGGATTCAGACGAGAATTTAATCAACACATGAAAGAAGTTCACAATCGTATAAAAAAATTTACTTGTAACATATGTGGCAAAATATTTTTAATGCATTGCAAACTTACAAGACATTTAGAAACACATAATAAAATAAGAGAAAATTGTAATCTGTGCGGTAAAGAATTTAGAAGTCGCAGAGATTATAACGCTCACATGAGGAACATGCACGGTGTCGTGCTTGATTTACCAAAAACCGAAAGCAAAAAATCAGTGCCACGACAAAAGAAAGGGAAAATTCCAGTTGATAATGATGCAAAGCCATTGAATGAAGAAATAAAAGATGACGATAAGTTTGATCTTAAAATTGATATGAAGGCTCAAGATTTTAGCGGGTACCTTTTAAAAAATAAGAATAATTTTTAAACTTTAGCTTAATTAAAATTAATTTTAAGTGTAAAATTTACAATACAATATTTTAAAATTAATTTCAAATACATAATATTTTCATTAAAATTGATGAATCAAAGCTTTTTATTTTATTTAAGGTAAAACTGAAAAGACTTTGTTGCGACATCATCATTTTCATATTAGAGTTTTAGAAAATCAAATCACCCAAACCTAGCACTTTTTAAATAAAAATAAAATTAATGCTTGTTCTTAAGTGATGGCGTTATTCAGAATAGGTGTAGATAATTCCGATTAAAGCCGGAACTTTTAAGTATGAGTAAGTTTCAAATATAAAAAATATTAATTTATCTCCTATAATAATTAAATACCATTTATTTACAAAATTAATTTTATTATTATAAAATTTAGAACACCTTTTTAAGGCTGATTATTACTCATATCAAAAACAATACTTATCAATATATTCATTCGTATCATTTATATCTATTTTGATATTGATTTTAACATCGCCATTTAACCCAATGTTATTAGAATTCGTAGATGGATTGACTTGTACATCATGTATTATTTTAAATTGCACTTTACATGTATCGTTTTTCGATTCTTTTTTAGGAAAGCCTGAAATTACTCCATGAATATTCCGCATATGTGCGTTGTAGTCTCTACGGTTTCTGAATTCTTTTTCACAAATCGTACAAAAATCTTTAATTCTGCTATGTGTTTCTAAATGGCGAGTAAGTTTACAATGTAATGAAAATATTTTTCCACATATTGAGCAAGTGTACTTTTTAATACGATTGTGAATTTCTCTCATATGTTGATTGAAATCTCTTCGAAATTCAAAATTTATATTACATAAAATACATTGGTTGTAAACCCGTTCATGAGTTTCCATATGTTTTTTCATATTATTTCTTCTCGAAAATGGTCTATTGCAAATGGGGCAGGTAATGTTATTTTCACCATGAATATTTCTCTGGTGTGCTTGGTACTCTCTAACATTTCGGAAATTTTTATTGCAACGTTCGCAAGAATGATATGATTTTTCATGAACTTTCAAATGAATAGTTAAATTAAAACCTTTGAAAAAACGTTTCCCGCATATTGGGCATAAATATTTTCCATGACCGGCATGTATATCTAAATGATCTGTTAAATGTTTTCGGGTCTTGTACCGTAAATCACAAAGATGACAAGGAAACGGCCTGAGTTTAACATAATGTGCATTGTCCTTATTTTTATCAAAACTTGCTAAAGTAAAAAAATTAAAAATTTTTAAATATTGTTCTTTAAATACTGAGATGTGTATAGATAAATATTCACATACCATAATGTTCCAAAACCGCATTCACATCTTCATATTCTTGATTGCATAATATACATTCAGTCTCTTTCCGATTATCATGAATTTGCATATGTAACATAAAAAGTTGTTCATTTTTCATTTTTTTATTACATTCCTTACATTTAAGGTTACGCTTAACTTGTTTTCGGTTTCCTTTAATTCTAGTTTTCCCTTCAATATTACATGTTTGCTCTTTGAGAATGTTTTTAATCTTCAATCTTTTAAATTCCAGCAACGCTTTCTTCGGTTCGGTTTCACCAAATGTTTTTTTTTCTTCCGAGACATAATTATTTTTTATAATTCTTTCAGTGCTACTTTTTTTTAATAAACATTTATTCGCATTAGTAAAAGGATTTGCAGGTTTATTTCCACACAATACCCTATTATCAATATTTGCGAATTCTTCGTTATTTTCCATAAGGCCGAGTTCAGATTCACTTGCGCTGTCTTCAATCTGTAATACAATTCATAAAAAAACATTAAAACCACTACAAATAATGCTCGAGACTCTATTTTAATTACCATTATGGGTTTAACTTCCAGCTCTACCATTTTAATATTATTATTATCATATGTGTCCGAGTATTTACATTTTTTCTTTTCCGTATGATTATATGATTTCACTTTTTTATGGAATTTTTGAAAAATGCAATTATTTTTGTCAACGAATTCAGGTACATCACTTCTTTCATGTTCATCCCATTCGTCAGGTGCTTTATCAAGTTGCTCATCGTCCGAGGAACTGAATAATTCTAACAACTTGTCAATTTTTGAAACTGAAAGAGCCATTTATTTCCAAACTTAAACAGGCAGTAATGGAAAGTTGTTTGAAGGTATAAATATTACAATATTCGTTTTTGTATTATTTTAATAATTTAAATAATAACAATTTATATATGTATTATATTACAAAATAATATAATATATACATCAGTGTACATATTAGTTATATATTATCTATGAATCTATGGTATACACATATATGTAATTATTTGACAATAAGTCTTGTACCTATTTTGTTTTTTTTTACAACTCGTAGGTGCGCCATCTGCTAATAATATTGAAAACTTAAAAGACACAATAAATTTGAATTTTGAAACTAATGCTCAAATCAAAATAGACGTTTACTTAACATCAAGATCTGGAATTAACGTTGTTATTGTGCATTTTAGTTTTTTATTTTTCAAATGAGAATAAATATTTGATTTGAATTCTATTCTTCCAATTGCATAGATACCGTCGGCTGATTTCTTATGTGTTTGATTTACAGCATTTTGACATTTTGCCTTTTTGAGTAATATTAAAGCGGTAAAAATAAATATGTTTTTAAAATCTTTGTGATATATAGGATTTCAGACACGATCTTTTGATTGGTTATTGAGATATTCCATGTTTCAATTTGTTCAATCTCCAAAATATTTACACAAAAGTAAAATTAAAAGCATAAATTAAGTTTAATTAAGTCGTAAGTGTTTAATTAATTAGGTAAACACAATATATAATAATATTAATTATATATAATATAATAATAATATAATAATTAAATATATAATATTAATTATAACACAATATATTAATTATATTATATTTTATACGTATACAATACTTTTACTTAGAAAAATTCAGTTGCTTAGTTTTACGTAAATAGTCCAAATTGACGACCTAGGGAGAAAGAAAAATGTATTGAAAAGTCAAACGTAAGAAACGCGCTAAGTATACGTTTTGTTATAAATTCAATAAAAAAAAGACAATGAAAATTTCTGAAAAATGTTGGAAGGTACATTTATTTGAAATGATGTGTGTAAGAAGGTATGTAATGTATGTATGAATGTATACAAAATACATTTTTCGAAGAATTAAAACTTTTTTTTGTAAAAATTATATAAATTTCCTAATGAAAACGAGAATCCAAATGTGCTATGCAAGCTTTTTTATTGCACACAGCAGAAATTTAAACATAACATTAGAATAACAAAAGTGAGTAGCCATTCAAAAGATGCAGGTGCATATTAATGTAATGGACCTGTAATGTACATACATACATACATATGTATACACAATGAAATTAAAAGGAGAAAAACCTTATTTTGTAAAACTTGAAAATTAAGCTATTTTGGTAACAAAAAACTTTTTAAATATAAATTACTCCAATCTGGTCAAGTTAAAATATTAAAAAGAAAGGACAGGAGAAATAAAAGAGATTACAGGCGAAATTTATTTATTAAATTTGACTTTAATTTAATTAATTTTAATTAAAGGGGCGAAAAAATGATGCTAAATAAAATTCGAATTGTGAAAGAACCATGTCAGATTTGAAAACTGATTTATGGTAGTTGACAGTTAGTATTTGCTTTAATGCAGTTTTTGGGCGTTAAAGTTTTCCATTTTAATCCATTCGGTCGATGATGCCGTTTTAAATTTGTTTTTGACTTTTGTTTAACAAACTCAAGAAGTGGTCGACGGGATTCGGATCTAGATATTTTAGAGTTGAATTTCATTTCTTTGAAACCTTTTCGAAACACAAAATAATTTCCATTTAACCCCATTTCAAATACATACACTGCTCACTTAATTTTAAAATAGTGTGTTCAATTAAGACCAAACTACTACACCAGAAGCGTACAATTATAATAAAAAATATATTTCATTTTTATTAAGTATCAGGCCTGCGTTACACTTTTTTATAACCGTTTGACCTTAAAAATGTTGCATTTAGTGAAGAAGAAGTAATATTTTAGACTAATTTGAGTTACAGTGTTTTAAAGTTAACAACGTTAAAATTCATACTTACGTGGAAATGTGTAAAAGAGCGTACTTTGTGATTTGAAAATTTTAATACAAAAATTTTTATTGATTGTTTTTAAAAATGTCCAGTAGCTGAAAATTTGTGTGGTGTTTACAAAAATTTGTTTGTTTTTGTAATAATGATTTATATTTTTAAATATATATTATTTATTTTGAAATTACAACTACTCGTACTGACTTTCAATTTAATAGAATATTTAAAACAAAATAAATTTAATAGGTTTGATTTTATTTCATATAAGTATTATGTATGGTATTATCTACAATTATAAAATTATCTTAGTAAATATCATTTTCTGTAATCTTTTATTTAATTTATGCTTTTTCTTGCATTCGTAGTACCACTGTGCACACTTTTTACATGGGCAGCAAAGTCTCTTCGATTTTTGAACTCCTCATCACATATAGCGCAATTATTACTTATGGAATTATGATATAATTCGAAATGTTCGGAAAGTTCAGAATGTAATAAAAACACTTTTCCACAAGTTGAACATGGATATTTTTTGATTCGATTGTGTACTTCACCCATATGCTGGTTTAGCTCTTTGCGAAATTCAAAATTTGTGTTACATGAAGCGCATTTCCATTTGAAATGGGTTTTCATATGTGTTTTCATATTATCTCTTCTAGAAAATCCTCGATTACATATTGGACATACGATTTCTTCAAATTTAGGGAACTCAACTACAACTCCATGGATATTCCTCATATGCGCCGCATGATCCCTATAATTTCTGAATTCTTTATCACAAATGTTGCAAACATCTTTTACTCTGTTATGACTTTCTAAATGTTTTGTATAATTATAACGCAATAAAAATTCCTTTCCACAAAAAGAACAAGCAAATTTTTTTGCACGGTCATGAGATTCTCTCATATGTTGATTTAAATCTCTTCGAGTATTAAATTTTGCATTACAAACAGAACATTCATTATCGTGAGTTTCCAGATGTGCTTTAAGATTATCTCTTCTAAGAAACGTTTTATTACAAATAGAACAAACAAGTTTATTTTCCCCATGAACCATTCTTTGATGAGTCTCCTGTTCCCTTATATTACGAAATCTTTTATTGCAACGTTCACAATAGTAATTTAATTTTTCATGAACTTTGATGTGTGTCATCATATTGAATCTTTTAGCAAATTGTTTTCCACAAAGTGGGCACAAAAATTTTTTTTGACCTGCATGAATATCTAAATGATCTGTTAAATCTCTTCTATTTTTATATCGAACTACACATAAATGACAAGCAAACGGTCTAAACTTTATATAGTGCTCATTTTTTTTATCTTTGTCAAAACTTGCTAAAATAAGATGCAATATTTTGAAACTGATCTGCTATTTTAGAATAATTATGTACATACCATAATGTTCTAAAACACCATCAACGTTATCAAAATTTTTGTTACATAAAACGCATTCAGTTTCCTTTCGTCCATTATGGATTTGCATATGAAGCATAAACAGCTGTTCATTTTTCATTCTTTGATCACATTCATTGCATTTCAAATTCCTGTCAACTCTTGGCCTGTTTTTAACCATCCTAGGAGTATATTTACCGACATGTCGTTTTAGTTTTTTCTCAGAGTTTTGTTGATTTTCACCCTTATCATTGGGTTTTCTTCTTTTTCTTCTTCGCCTAGTTTTTTTGACTTCCTTAGGCTCCAACTCTTCGTTTTCTGACCATTTAAAATAAAAGTCTGAGTCGTTATCCTTCTCAAAGCTATTTCTTTGTTCACTCTCAACTTCACTATCTATAATCTTAAAACAAAGATTTTAACAAATTTTTAATGGATTTAGATGAAAATTTCTAAGTTTGTTTACCACTATTGGCTCAACCTCTAGTTCCACAACTTTCACCTCGACATTTGTATCATTATTTTTATTATTACTTGATTTTTTCGCACTCACATTCTCCAACAATTCGACTGTTTGATGAGATTTTTCTGAAGTGCTGTTAGTGGTTTGGTCATTAATTCCTTCTTCTTCCTCAAATAATTCTTCGTCGTCATCCAACCCTTCTAATTCGTCTTCAGAAGAACTAAGTAACTGTAGCAATTTATCAATTTTTGATGAAGGTAAAACCATTATCCAGAAATGTTAAGAAAACATAGAATAAAGAAATAAATAACTTAAAATTGTAGATTGGAGATGCTGATACATATAAATATGATTGATATATATACCTACATTGTTTTTTGACAAGTAAGATTTGTAGCAAAGACACTCTGCCCAATGGTAAACTAGCCAAGTTTAATTGACATTGCTATTTTGCTTTGACAGCTTTAAGAATAAAAAGTTTGATTACACATCAGATTTCCATCAGATTCAGATTTAATCTAAGTAATATTTGAAAAAAAATTGTTCAAATGCACGTTTTATTTAATTTTTAAATAGGTTAAGACAATTTTTTATATTTTATAAACACTTCTAACACTTCTAATTTTTTTTATATTCGAAATGTACATATTTCACTTTTTTAAACCTTTGCTTTTAAATTATTTTATTTTATTAATTTATTTATAACTTTTCACAAAACTAAATTATTTTATTAGAAAAATTTATTTTGATAGTAAAGTAATTTAGAAAATTCTAAAAATGGGAATTCAGCTGTTTTAGTAGACAAATATATTTTTAGTGCCATTCTAGGGCAAATTCGTCTATTATCCTTGTCGGTAACAAGGTTGGCAATTTGCATTATGTGATATGTAGTAGGAGGAGTCAAACACAACTTGTCAAAAACGTGAATTATAATTTTTAGATAAGCATTCATTAGTGATGACACCAAAATAATTTTTTTTATAAAAATACTGAACTAAAATTTAATTCTGTCTCGGGAAGGGATTAATCATTATAATAACAACAAAGTTGACATGCATAATTATATTATGGGTAGAGTTTATTAAAATTAATTTTATATATAAAATTTAATATATGTACGTATGTACACAATGTAGATAAATATCTAGTTCTACTAAAATATCAACACTGACATATTGGCTAATTTTTTTTGCGGCTGCAGTAGTCTTTTTCCATTATAGAATACATATCCATATGTATTATAAATAACAATTCAATTTGTATTACTTTTTACTCGGGAATTCGTTTTATTTTGTTTTCTTTGTACATTTATAAGTTCACCATGAATATTTCTCATATGCGCATTGTAGTCTCTGCGATTTCTAAATTCTTTTTCACAAGAAACGCATTTATCTTTTATTCTATTATGAGTTTCCATATGTTTATTATAATTATAGCGCAATATAAAATTTCTACCACATATTGAACAAATATGGTTTTTTAATTTATTATGAACATCTCTCATATGCTTATTAAACTCTCTACGAAACTCAAAATTTGTGCTGCATAATTTACATATCCATTTCAAATGAGTTTGCATATGAGCCTTTAAATTGTCTCTTCTAGTAAATGATCTACTACACACATTGCACACAAGATTATTTTCTCCATGAACTTTTCTTTGATGGGTTTCAAATTCAATGGTTTTCCGAAATTTTTTATTGCAACAGTAATGATAAACTTTATCATGGAGCTTAACATGAGTTTGCATATTACATTTTTTGGAAAATTGTTTTCCACAAAGCGGACACAAATATCTTCGTTTGCCTGCATGCACATCTAGGTGATCAGTTAAATCTCTTCTATTTTTATATCTCACAACACAAAGATGACAGGAAAACGGTCGCATTTTGATATAATGGTCATCATCCTTATTTTTGTCAAAACTACCTAAAACAATACATTGTTTGTTATTAAATCTTCTGTTATAGGTACCTGTGTTATAAACATACCGTAGTGTTCCAACACGGCGTCTACATTTTCAAATAGTTTATTACATAAAACACACTCGTTTTCTTTTCGATTTTCATGAATTTGCATATGCAGCATAAAAAGCTGTTCATTTTTCATCCTTATGTTACATTCTTTGCAGTGAAGATTTCTCTCTACCCTTGGTCGATTTTTTCTTGTATTGTCTATGTGAACCAAATCAATGATTACTCCATGTTCATTCTTTATATGAGCATTGTATTCTATTCGGCTTTTAAATTTTTGGTCGCAAAGAGCGCAAATATCTTTAGCTTTTATAACGCGATTGTGAACTTCTTTCATGTGCTCTGTAAAATCTTTTCTTAACTCAAAGTTTATATTACATATTATACACATATTATTATGAATCTCCATATGTGACTTCATATTATCTGTTCTGGAAAGTATTTTATTGCAAACTGGACATGGTACGGGTCTCTTAGAGTTAAAAATTTTCCTATTGCTGCGTTCCGCTTCTTCCATTTTAAAAACTTTCAACATTTCTTTATTTTCTTTTTCATCTTCTCCTTGAGGCACATGATTTTCGACATTTTGCTTTGGTTTTTGCTTCCTTTTATTTTTTACAATTTTTGGAATTTCATTACTTAAATTTTTCCCATGATTTAAAATGTCCTCCTCACTACCGCTATCATCAATCTGCGTAAGAAAACGTGTTAAATATTTATATATAATAATGATTATTTGCTATAAAAATTTTTACCACTTACTTCTATTGGTTCAACTTTTAATTCAACAACTTTTACTTCATCATCACTTTCATTTGCACTTAATTCTGACTGTTCTTTGTCAAATATATCCATAACTTCATTACTTTTTTTGTTTCCAATGTTATTCTTCTTGCCAAGTAGATAATCAGAGACATCACTTTCGCACAACTCTTCGTTATCTTCTAGTTGGTCTAGCTCATCATCTTCGGAAGAGCTAAAATTCTGCAATATTTGATCAATTTTTGAAGCAGGCAGTGCCATTAGTTGCAAAGAATTGTTTTCTAGTTTTTTTCTGAAACTCTACCAGTAAAAAATTACTTAAAATGGAAACTTCTATTTAACCCAAGGAAGTGACTTAGGTATTTTATCTAATACCAAAGTTTAATAAAATGAACAATATTGTTAATTTTGTTTACGAATTCTTTACATGCATGAAATCTTTGCAACTGTGTGTTTCATTCAATATGTAATAGCAATCACAAATCAATTACACAAAGGATTGCATTTAAAACTAACAAAACGAATGTCAAGCTGAATTAAACGAAAGTTTGATGTTTAACTGGGTCGTAATTATGTAATTAAAGAAAATAAAAAGTGCGATGTTTTCCGCAAAATATGTTATTTCAATTATTCAAAATATTGATTTTATAAGACTCCTACAACATTTAACAACACGTATAAAATCTTCAATTTTTTGCAGTTTGTGAACAGAACAGCCTCTAACAATTTTCTATCAATTAAGGCTGCAAATATTTTTTCTGTCATTTGCCAAACTCGGGTTTATTATTATTTAAAATTGAAAATTCTTCATTAATATAAATATAAGAGTGAATCTTTATTTTGTTCTGAATTAGTACTCCGATTAAGTAACATGAGATTTATAGGATATATGTAGGTAGGAAGTAGCAAGAGACATATGTAGGTAATATGTAACATGTTAATGGTATACAGTAACATTATGAAACATGTTAAATATAAAATTAAATATAAAATTTTAAGAACTTTAAAATCATATTAAGTATGAATTCGGTTTTTATTACATTATGTACATAGGTATATGTGTGATATGATCATCATTTGTGACTCTTTTTTATGGATGTGTTCTCTTTCGAATTATTTTATATTAGCCATTTACTTCGTTTAATATGGCAACATGAGTACTTCATTTGAAATCATCTCGAAATTCAAGCTGAATTTTACTCAGGTTGAAACCTCAAAAATGACGTTTATCTGTCACGTTTCATTTCAAGTAAGCAAAATTTTTTGATTAACTTGAATGAAGCCGGCTTCAAGCCAAGCAATGCTTAATTTACATGGACATAAAATAAACTTCAAGTACGCTTAAAGCTGCCATATAAACGGGATAATTGGTCCTAATAGAGATAGAGAAGCGAAAAATTTTTCGGTTTGGTGCGGCTATGCACACAATAAAATAAAACAAAAAATATTTTGTTATTCTGAATCCTTTTCAAATATTATTTTAATGAAATATTGGAGAAAAAATTATTTTATTGTACGCCAGTTCACATTGATATGTTACTTATTGTTACTGCAGTTAAGTAAATAATGTTACTTAAATAAGCATAAATATCTAATTAGAAAAAGAGTATTATTAGCAAATTTAAATGCATATTACAAAATCCTCCATTATTAACTAAACTCCCACATAAAAAATCACATTAATTAAGAGTTGAATATAAAGGATGTTTAATTCAAACGATATACCATTCCAATAAAAATTTATCTTAAAGGACAAGAAATAATAATATTATGTACATATATATGTAGAAATGTATGTACATATGTAAACAATTAATTCTGAATTTCATATACTTCAACTGAAAATTTTAAAGTAAATGTACAGAAACTCGAGTAAATCTTCAATATCCAACACTTCTTTAGTACGCTCTTCTAATTAACAATTTTTTGGCTACTTCAAAAGAAATATCATTATAAAAACTTAAAAATTAGGTACTTTAGAAATCATCTGGAGTGCTTTTTATTAAGAACTAAGTTCAAACTAAATTATCAAAACTTCCCACAATCAAATCATTCCCAATTAATTTGATTTCAATGAAATAATGAAACAAAATATTTTAATTTTGAAAAAAGACTTATTTTATATTTATATTTCTTCTTTTTTGTATTATTAATTTGATATTATTTTTAATGTTTAATAATTTTCTTTTTTTTTTCTTTTTTTTTAAAGATATTTTCTTTTGTTTTGATAGAAGATCAGTATTTTGTCGTTTTTTATTTGATTTTTTTTTTGTTTTTTTCTTTTGACAAAAGCCTCATATTATAAACATTAAAAAATATCTAGGATAAAAAAAAATTGAAATAAAAAAAAAACTTACTTTTATAAATAAAGCTTCTTACTATTTAGTTTTTAAATTATAATATTTATATGTATATACATATCTGTATATATTATAGACGTAATTTTTATAAACATATCTAACATAAATTCTTTTATCAATTACATATTTTTTTGCTTCAATTAAAAAAATTTTTAAAATTTAAAATTTCTTTTAATTTCATATACAAATTTTTTTTGTTTTTGCTCTTTTATTTAATAAAGTTCTCTTTTTTACATAGTTTTGTTATTTTTAGTTATAATTTAAAATCCCTACTAACTAGAAAAGTGTATTTATTATCTTTAATTACAATCTATTTTTTTCCTTTTACTTGGTTTTTAAGAGTTGTGGGTGAACATGATTTTTATAATTTTTATAAATATTGAAAGGAGATAGGGAAAAGCATTTATGTAATATTTTCACACTCATATATAAGTTTGAAGAACTTAAAATTAGTTCACATTTGTTTTATTTGAATTAGAATTGGTTTACATGTAATAAATAATGTAATTAGCTAGTATTTTTTCCATTAAATTTCTAAAAAAAAATAGTAAAATTATTTAAAAAGAAATGTAGATATTCAAATAATTTTATCTTTTCCTGCAAAACCTTGAAATTTCATTGTAATTATTAAAATTCATATTAAAGTAAGTGAAGTAATTCTTCCCATTTTTTTAAAATTTAACGAGAATTATGTTTTAATGCATCTTTGCTTTTTTTAATATTGCGCTTAATTTAAAAAAATTCAATTATAGGACTCTATCCATGATCACTATATCCATTAATCAAAAAAAGTAAATTTTAACAGAAAATAATAATTACGAACATACTTGTTCAAGAACTATGTATACGTAATTGTTTTTTTATTTCTGGTATTTATCGTTAACTGAAAAATTGCTATTATTAACCAATTTTTTTTTTTAAATATATTCAATTTACAAGTTATAAATTTCGAAATTTGATTTTTTAATGATATTAACCCACATTCTGTTAGCCAAATCACTTGAGCTGGCGGATCGTTATTCAAATATTTTGCAGTTTTCTGAATAAAATAAATTCCAAAATTTGAAAACACCTCTCAAAAAAAAAATTCTTTCCATTAATAACGTCTCATTAACCACAAGTGATGCGACTAAGAGAATATGAATGAAAAATAATTAGATTTTAATTATCAGAGGTATGCGCGATCTGTTTTGGTGTAAATTTTTTTCTTGTTTCAAAAAAAGCAGGAGAAAATATTTGAAATTATTAAAAAATTTACACTTTTGAAAATTTTGTGGATAAGTTGTTCCTTATTTGACTAATAGACATGATCTTATTTTACAAGCGCATTACATTAAAAATTTAGATGAAAAATTATAATGATTGAGTTTACATATATACATAATTATATATATACAAATGTTTGTATTTATATATATGCATGAATACAACATATATATATACAATATATATATATTTTATATATATATTAAATATATATTCACTCCACTACATTTAAACTAAGTTTGAATTTTTTCTTAATTCTGTTAGTCACTTAAGATATATCTTTTAAGGATGAATATATTCTTTGCATTTTTTTTTTCTAATTTTATAACGTTTTCAATAAAATTATCAATAATAATAATAAAAAAAAATAACAAAATAAATTGTATTACTTCAAGTTTTACACAGTCCACAAATTTCTTAAAATATATTTGATTACATTCTTTTAATATCAACGGCGCCATGAACGATCTTCTGACTCGTCATCCTCTTCCTCATCCTCCAGCGGCAGTTCTGGTAAGTTATTCGTATCCATACTTGTTAAATTCTCGGCGATCTTCTCGTTTGTGGTAGTTAATGGTAATTGTTTGTTGTTCGCTACATGTTCATCACTAGCTGGTGATTGAATTATTTTTTGTTTTTCAGAAACTATAGAGTTATTTGTTGTCTGAGCCACTACCCAAACAATCTTAAAAATATTAAAAAAATATATATATAAATTTTGAAAAGTTATAAGAGTACTTCAAATATATTTGTTTACTTGAAGTTGTTTGTCTTTAAACATTCGCCCACGAATTGCTGCTTGTTCAGCCGTTAATCTTGTTGCGTACGTAATTTTTAACGATGGTATTGATTTATCGACTTCATGTTTTGTAATTTCTCCAAAATGCTGCAAAAAAAACGAGAAAAAAAAATTAAAAATGAAATTTTTGTTTTTCATAAATAAATTTGTTGTACTTTGAAATGACCCAAAAGCAAATCGCTATCTTCGCTAACAAATCCGGTTACACATAAGGTTTTTGGTCTACGATCAAGTTTTGAAGATGCTGGAGCGCTTCTTATACGGTGATTTACTCTTGTTGGACCAATCCCGGTCCCTGCAATTCCAAAATGTGGTTTTTGACTTGCTGAAATACCTAAACTCCTTTGCAGTTCTTCTAATTTTTTTTGTATTGCTGTAGTATCATTTCCTTCTTGTTGCTGCGCAATAAGCTCTAATTCAATGTCTAATAATTCTTTCTTCTGCTGCTCTTTCGTTTTTTTAACGGGTTGGGTTGTCGATTGAATTTTAGCAGCTACTTTTTCTTGTTCTGTCGATAATTCTTTATTTAATTTATCAATATTACCTTGTAGGTTTTTTATCGTTTCTAACATTTTAGGTCTTTGGGGATCATTTTGGTCCATTCTTTCTAAAAGTTCTACTGCCGATTTCATTTGCTTCAAATACTCTTGAATTAGCTCTTGTTTACGTTTTCGCAAGCCTTGAGCTAATTGAACAACAGCTTTTGCTTGTTCTTCTTGTTTTTTTCTTATAATTGATGCAGCGGCTGGCAAAGGTCGAGAACTTGTATTATTTTTAAGGCGCATTGAAGGTTGAGTAATAACAGCTGTAGTTGTTTGCACTTGGGTAGTAGATGATGTAGTTTGAGTATGAGCACCAGTTGAGACGATTGAAGCACTTGTGGTGATTACCGCATTAGCAGCGGATGTAATCGGTGTAGACGATTGAGATAAACCTACAACTGCACTTGGAACGCTAACGGTTTTTGCACTTTCTGTTGCAGCAACAGCTACTGCTGGTGAAGTAGTAACCCCTGTTGCAGGCAAATTTGTCAAATGATATTGACTACTTTTACGTCCATTCGCAACTATTTCTTCTTTATTTGATGCATTTGGGGGGCCGCTCTCGCCACCAGAGCTATGCCAAAAGACTTTTATGAACCGGTTATTTAAAACAGCTTCAGTACTTCGATATGCAACATTTGCTTCTGCGTGTGTTGAAAAAGTAACAATTGCAGCTTCCGGATCACCATCATAACTTATTTGAATATTAATAATTTTTCCAAATTTTGAAAAGTGATTATTAAGATGAGCTATTGTGTTCATTCCTCTAGGGACTTTTCGTAATTCTAATGAACAATTTTGCTGAGGACCCCCAGTCACTCTAGGACCCAATCGACTATTAATTGGTATTTTTCGTTTAATCGGTCCTTCAGCTACTGCGACCGTATCTTCGGGCTCATACCGGCGTTTTGAATGCAAATTGCTGGCCGCAATTCCTGCAACATCTCCCCCTGCATTTGCGTCTACAACTGGCACTGGAATTAATTCCCTTTGTAAGGGAGTCACAGCTGGATTTATGGCAAAAGGAAAGGGAGGTCCTGCTGGTCTGAAACCAGGTGGACGAATTGGAGGAAAAGTACCACGTGGCCCATTGAACGGAGCACCAACACTTCCCCGGTTCCACAGTTCTGGAGCATCGGGATTGTACTCTCTCAAATGCTGCGGCATTGTCAGAAATGCAGTTGAATTATTGATACCTTCCAATACTACAGGATTAACACCATGATCCCATGGACAAGTTTCACCTCTAACGCAATAGCCTTTTTCATCGAAATCGCGACATCTTTGCCTTTTGCCTACAATATTGTTCATATTATCATTGTTTCCAGAAGGTGATATAGATCGCGAAATTTTTCTCAATTCTGGTGAAGGAGATCTGCTTCTTGATGCCGAATGACTTCTTGTCCTTCCGCTTTTGTTTGCACCTCCTCTTCCGAGGCGCTCGTTATTTGTCCCCCTACGCTCTGTGCGACGCCTTTCGCTAACGGCTGGAGGAGATTTATTGTGAAATTGTCTTGACATTTTTTCTCGTTCTTGGGCCCTTCGTTCACGTGATCTTGATCTTTGACGACTTCTATCACTTGGAGAACGTGATCTAGATCTTGACCGCAAAGAGCCTCTACGCCTTCGAAGCTCACGAGGATTATTTTCCTTATCAGAGGCAGTTTTCGCAGAGTTTATACTTAAAGTATTGCTTATAGGGGATATCACAACAGAAGACGTTGGTGTGTGTGGCGTTCCTTGATTAATAGTAACTGCGCTTGTACTTGATGAAGAAGGGGTTGTACTGTTCAATTTTTCAGTATGTTTATCTTTGGCTTTTGTAGTTTGTTGAACATTTTGTGATTGTTGTAATGGTGGAGTGCATTCCCGAGCAATTTTGTCGTCTTCTATATTATTATTTTCTACTTCTTTTTTATCAGTTTCAATAGATTCTTTCTCATCTGGCTGAGCTATGGGCATTAAATATTCCTTTGATGCAATAGCTGAAAACAATCTCTCCACAAAAGGTTTTGTTTCTTCAGCCAAAAATACGTCTAATTGCTCGTTCATGCTTTTTTTTAGCTCTTTAATTGGCTTTTCTTTTTTAAGTAAAGCAAAAACATACCTAGCTAGGGCAGATGGATCAGCATCACACCTGTAAATTTTATTAAGATCATAAATTAAGAAATTTTTGCAGCTTTTTATTTTAGTTGTATTTAGTGGCATCTACTAACTTTGTAACCTTGTGTATTAAATATATTTGCATAAAATTTCTAATTAGAAAATTGGAGCATTATTCGGAGATATGAAGATGTATATATTGTGAACGTATAAAAATATATTATTCTTATATTGAAGTACATATGCGGTTACAAATGTTCAGTAAAATGCCTTTCCAAATTATATTTTCAGACAAAAAATAATACTCACAATGGTTGCAATATAACTGTAAGCCAGCCCTTTAGGGCATCCGGATTATCTATTATCATATTTAATATCACTTGTGATTAGGATTATGATGAACAGCCAATTGTTTCACACCCGAGAGGTAACTCAAGCAAGAGGTCTTTTGACGTAATAACTTTTTTCACGGGTTTTATTTTCTGAAAGAAATACATATATATATATACAATTCACATATATTATGATTATTTGGTACAATTAAGTTCTTTCCAGGAGGTAAACATAAAAAAAAAAGTTTTATATTTAATATTAAGAAATATGTACATATGTATGTAATCTTCCTTTTCAGATATTCTTTAAATTGTTTTTTAAGCTTTCAAATAAAAATTTTTTCAGATAAAATTTCAAAAAACCATTTTCAATTACACTAAATTTTAATATCCTTATTTAATAATCAATTACTATGAAAGATTGAGTTTTTCAAAAAAAAATCGAAACCTTCTAGAAAATTGACCTTTTAAAAAAAAAATTAAACCACGAACTGGAATTGTCAAATGGAAATTCAGTACAGCAAAAAAATGGCTGATTATGTTCATGATGTAACTTACTTAAAAATCTTTTGATATTTTCAACGTCCAATTATCCTCAATCCTATGTTTAAAATGATTTTGGTCTTTTTAGATTTTTTTTTATTTTATGAAATTTTCCTGATTTACTTTTTAACTATTAGATTTAAATTTCACTTCAAAATATCTTTAAAAATAGCAACTTTAACTTATCAGTGATGGTAGAAAAGATAAGAATAATATACTTCTGTCTCTACTTTTTAGGTAATTGTCAAAAAATTATTTATGCTGTTAGTCACTTGTAGCGCTGTTACCTAATTTATTGACAAATTTTCATTTGCATTAATTCGAAAAGTGAACTCTTTTGTAATTTTTTTCAAACATAAAGAAACAAGCTTCAAATTATTTTACAATTCACACAAGCTTGAAAATTTGAAAATTTTTAATCTGACTTGAAGTTGACAGATATACGTAATATTTTTTTAAAACGTTTTGTAATGCAAATTCGGAGCATAGTATCAACTCATTTTTGTTTTGTTTGTAAAACTAGTTGAAGATCACTTCCCACAAAAATAGCATTCAGCCTATTAAAACTAAACGGCTGAATCATACATTTGTGGAAAGTGCAGGTTGACGGTCACTTCCCGCAAAAATATAATTCAGCCGTTTGCTTTTAATGTTCTTCTCTATTAGGAATCTGTTCTTAGTTCCATTTCAAATTTTTATTAATTTTACTAAAGTAATAAATTTTGCTAAAACAATGCGAGTTCTCGAACCAAGAATAGCAAGGGATAAAATTATTTTTACGTAAAAGCATAGATAGGAATCTTTTCATAAGGAAAGATAGAATCGACCATTTCAAAAGAAAAGATAAAATTCTATAGTGTCTTTGATAATCTTAAAAAATTTGGAAAGATGCATTTTCCTTAAAGATGGACGTCTTTCTTTTAGAAAGGCAGACTCTGCATTACCAATCTATTAATTTAATATATGTCGGGATTCTAGAAACTGATTAATAGTGAATCTATAATTTGAACAAAGATTTTAATACTCAAATACATTTTTATGTACTTTCACATTATGTAAAAACACAAAAGTATATTATATATTTTAGATTTGAAAACAAATTTTAATTCATTTATATGTATATGAATGTACGTACATATATGTATCTGTTTTTTAAAAACTATTATTTTTAAATTAAAAAATATGTAAAGGAAAATTAAGATGCACTCTCACTACGCTTTTTGAGGTTTTTTTCTCCATCGATTCCTTAAAGCAAATTCCTTCATCTTCTCTTTTTTGATATCTTTGTCATAATTTTTTCCACTTTTATTAAACGCCTTTTCTTCATTTCTTATTTTAGCCAACTTACGATTCTTTTGTTTTAAAATATTCTTTTTGTTGGCCGATTTCTTTTTGCCGCCTTCAGATATTTGAACTTTAATTGATTTACCATCTAACTCCGTATTATGTAAGGCAAAAGCCTTTTGGAAACCGTCGAGCGTTTGCATTTCTATAAAAGCATAACATCCTTTCCTATTCTTAGGTACACGAACACATTTTACTTCTCCAGCAGTTTCAAAATGACTTTTTAAATTTTCTTTATTTGTCTCAAAACTTAAATTTGTTACATATAAAACATATCTATTTTTTTTATATGATCCTCTTAATAAGATTTCTAATTGATTTGCACTTAAATTCTTGTTATCTCCATTTAAGTCGGAAAATGCTTCAACTTCAGAGCATGATGAATCTTCCTCGCTTGTAGGAGTTACTTGTACGTTTGCAGGAAAATAATCTAAGTTTTCTTCTATATTACGACGTTTTTCATCATCAAAATTCCCTAATATATCAGCACTATCGTCATTTATCGACTTTTTAAATTTCAATGGTCGAATATAATCTTCCACAACATAGTCTGAATCTGAGTGAGATTCGTTCATTTTTATACAAACTATTTTTATATATAAGAAAGTTTATTATATACCTTTTAATTGAAATCAATATGTATATACTTACAATAATGACTCCTAATGCATATGTAAAAAAAAATTAGTTGGATTAGCTAAATTTTTAGTGCCTGAAATTTATTTACAAAATAAAATCTCTAAAAACAAATATAACCTTAAATTTTTATAGACATGTTTATTAGACATTTATACAGGCATGTGCTGTCAATTATTAAATGTCAATGTAAAATTAATTCATCTCACCTCAAATTTAGTGTGGCCAATAGATTTACTAGACTAACAAGTCTGTTTTGTCTTCCTTATAGAAATATTTTTAAGTTAGAAAGAGAATGAAAATCGCTTTTTGCTGAATGCATTAAGCAGAATAAGTAATTTAGCTGAATTTCAGGATAATTATTGAATAAGTAATAATGTCTTACAAACTCCATTCGTACATTTCATATACTCAATTACGAATTGTAGATTTGTAGTTCGAATAAAACCTACATTACGTCATAGCATTTTTAATTTTTCTCAATTCCACTCGTAATTTTCTTTTCCAAAATTTGCAAAGATTGATTTTTTTTTTATCGCTTTAAAAACCACTGCAACTGTTGATTTAAGTTATGATCATTTACTAGGCTACAATGAATAAAACCAAAAAAGTTTTTCTAATTTTCTTTTTTTTATTAATTATTTGGTTTTTCTAAAAGAGCTTAAGTAAATTACTATATAAGACACAAACCACATTGGTTAAACATTTTTCTTTTCAGTTTTTTTTTTTTTTTTTTTACAATGTACATAAATATCAATATTTGATTTTGGAGAAATAATATTTTGTGTGTGCTATTTAAATATTAAATTTATTAAATTTTTATTAATATTCAGATTTTTTATTGATTTTTGATTTTTTGTTTTACATTTACTGTTTTAAAAATAAGAACATATTATTACAAATTTATAAAAAAAAAAATTAAAATAATATGATAGTAGAGCATTTATACAGAGTAATGATAAAATACTCACATGATTTCAACTAAAAACTAAAATTTATTTTTAAATATTACATTTTGTAAATCATAGGCTTTTTGTTATTTTAAATATTTTGTTTATCTTTCTATTATCAAAATATAGATACATTTCCTTTTTTGCATTGTTTAAAAATTAAGTGAATAACTATGTTTTTTATTTTAAAGAATGTTATTTAATTTAATTTATTATAGGAATTTTGCTTTTTTTTGCTATAATTCTTTTAAGAAAACATTTCATGATAAATATAATAAATGAACTTTTAGTGAATTGCAACAATCACGTACACAAACTATTTTATTTTACTTAAAATTTCTCATTGAATTATTGTGTATAATAATATCGTAAATTAATAAATAATATAGAATTAATTATACATATATTAGTGATAAAGAAGAAATTAATAAAATTATGAACATTTTTAGGATGCGCTACTTATAATGGAAATTAATGGGAAAAGAATATATTCTTTTATATAAAAATCAAGAAACATTAAAGATATTAAATGAAGAATCAACGCAGAATTGAAGATAATGAAAACCTAGGGCAATAAAATGAATTGAAGGAATGCATATGTTTTGCATGCACGTTAAAGTGATAAGCAGTTTAAAATTAACAAATATGATGAAATTGTTTTAGAATAAGAACTTATTTTACTCAAATATACATTGAATATATGTATGTATAACTAACATCAATTGTACATTTTTTAAATAAATCTATGCATATATGTACACAATTAAAATAAATATTAAGTAATTATTGAATTCACACTTAGTTCATAATTATATGTTTATTATGTTCATTATTGATTTTCTATCAAATTTTATAATTTAAAAATTGTTTCTCAAATTATGTTTTGTTTTGTTTGGGTTTGTGTTAAGTTCTAATGTAAAATTTTTAATTTCTATTTATAATTTTCTTTTATATAAATATGTATTATATAAATGTGTTTTTTAAGATGTTAATTACTTTTTTTTTGGTTTGCTTAATTTATTTTAATTTTTTTTTATCAATAAGTGGTCTCTATTGCATATTATTTTTTATTTTTTTTTTATTTAATTTTGTATTTTAATTCTTTTTTTACATTTTGTCACTTTTTAGAACATGAATTTGACTTTTTCAATTTCTTAATGTTTTTTACTTATTAATTAATTATATCAATTTTTTAACATTTTTTTTTCCTTAATGTAGAAATTGCCTATAACAAACATCTTTACGACAACTTTTTTTTTTTATTTTATTTATTTTTATTCTTTTATTTCGCGTAAAAATTTTAAATGCCAATTTATTTAAATTATTATTCTTAATTATTATAAAAAAATTACCAGAAAAAAAAGTTCATTATGTAAAATATAAATTAAAAACTACTAAATTAAGATTAAGACTAAGTCTTTTATGATTTTATTGTGTCATATAAAGAATTTTGTAAATTTAAAATAAAATTAGATATTTGGTCACGATGTTTTTTTTAATATTATGTTAGTAATACATATTAAATATGCTATGAAAACTATGCAAAATAATTTATTTAAATTAAAATATCAATATTTTGCACATTTTATAAAAAACATGGAAAAGGACAAAGAAGTTTTAAAAAAAATTGTCTTGAAAATATGGAAATAGTTTTTGTATTTAACTCAATATTATTATTTATATAGTGATAATGTTATATAATTAGTAGAAAAATCTTACGTAAATTTCATTTAATTTAAAAAAAAAAAATGTTTTTTTTTTTTTCATTTTTATAATTGAGTTGAGTGATATACAAATTTTTAATAATATATTATTATTGTATACGGTCCCATTAATTCTAAATTGGGTTATATATATATAATGTTTCAAGACTCATTATTAAAAATTTTATAAAAAATTTATATTTACAAAAATTTACATTTTCATTAAAAATGCATTTAATACAACAAAAAAAAAAATTCAAAACAATTTCATTTCAAAATTTATAAATATATATTATTTTTACATAATATTATTGTTCTATGTATTAAAAATATAGTTTACCTATTATATATACACATATATACATATATGTGTAGTAAACATAATGTTCTCGATATGTTATGAAACTAACTGTTTATTATTTAAAATTAATTTTTTGTTTTATTTAATTTGTTATTTAAATTAAAATTTAAATAAAATTTAATAATATTGTGATGTAGATGTGAAACATAAAGAAAAAAAAAACTGAAAGAGTGACACATTTAAATCATAATTGACCCTTTATATATAAGTATGTTACAATATTATTACATTTTTTTAACATTTCTTATACAATAAATAATATATATTATTATTATATATTTTTTGTGTAGTATTACAAATTTTACATAAAAAACTTTACATTTTTTCAATTTTTGTGTTTCATTTTTTTTTACAAATCTTTAAAATCTTAATGATTCTTATTTAATATTTGATATACATAATTATTCATTATATACCATTTCTTGTATATATATATATTTATCCAGTGTAAGTATAAATGTCATATATATATATTAATACATAATATATTTTTGTTTATTTTCCGGTTATTTTTTACAAATGCAATAGTTTGCTTATTTACTCAAATTTAAATTTTTAACATTTAAAAATTTATTAAGTATTAACTTTAATTTTTTTTTTAATTTCTTTTGGGTTTTTAATAAAATTATTATTTTTATGATGATTCTTCTATTTTCAAAGCCAAATAATTTCAATGTTCTTCGTAAACCTTTACTTTTTCAGTTTTATTTATTTCATTTTGTTTATTTGTTTTTCTTAAGTTATATAAAGTACATAATATTTTTAAATTTATTTCGTAAAAAAAATAATTTTGACTCTTGAGAGATTTTTTCTTCTTTTTTACAATAATATTAATTTTTTTCTAATTAATTTTCGTTTTATTTTAAAAAATTACAAAAATTTCTTTTAAAAATGTTTACGCATTATTTTTTTGAGTTGGTTTTTTATTGTGAGTTTTTTTTTTTTTAATTTTCTTTTTGTCTTGAGTATTTTTTTTCTTATGTATTTGTGTTTGCATTTAACTTAACCAAATAGAAAATTTTTATTACTTTATGTTCATGTGTTGTTTTTTAGTCACATGTTATTATTTTTAAATTCTACATTTTTAATCAATAATAAATATTTTTGAATTCGATTAAATTTATTATGTATTTGGATATATTAGATACAACTAAATCTAAATTAGTATTATAATTCTAATTGTACATATTTTATTACAAATAGATACACATAATGTAATATACGTACATTCATAAACATATACAAATATATTACATGAATTATAATAGTATCGATGTATTTTTATATTTTTTTTATATATTTATTGAAATACATACATAATAATATACTACTAAATATACATATTGTATTTTTTGAGTTAAAACGTGTAATCCAAATATAAAAATTTTTCCTTATGCTGTACATTTTATTTTTTTTTTTTTTTTGGAAATCTTTAATTAATTTAAGTATAAAAATAATATTTAAAATTTATATTTAAGGGGGGTTTTCGTAAATTCAGTGTTAGAATATGTAATTCTAGGTTGTATCTCGTTCGAAAATTGTAGGCTGCCCACACTGAAAATATAGATCGTCCGGAAATTAGTCTCTGTATTAGTTTGAAAATTAATTCGGTCAGATATCTAGTTTCAAGAAATGTTGGAAATGTAAATGTTGGAAAGGACATGTTATAGTTTAAATTTTTAGCTTCCACATGAGTTTTTTTTTTCATTTTCGGATGACTGATTATTTAGAAGTACGTATCGGGGTTTAGAGACTGAATAAACATAAAACACTTAACTAAAGTTTTTGCATACCGTTTAACGTTGTGGCTTAGAACTTTAAGCTCTAATGTAGAACTTTAGCCGCAGCGTTCATAAACAAAAACCCCCATTATAAAGTAAAAATTTAAGCTGCTAGAATAAAAAATGAATCTGGATTGTAAATTTTCAATTATAAATTTTATATTTGATAATAAAGTTCTATGCATATTTTTAATTTTACTTAAACAAATTGTTATAAATTTAAATCTTAGATTTTATTGAAACATATTCAAAATAAAAATTAGAAAAAGAAAGTACTTGAAATTACTCTCATATAAATATGTATATAAACGTATAAATATGTATTATTAAAATATTATTATATTTTTTTCTTTTTCT